GAAGAAGTTGCACAGTGAGAAGCAGAAATAGTAAATTCAAAAACAAATTTCAATGAATCTACTGGTATGTCAAAAGAAGGTGGCCAAAAAACTATGGAGCAAAAACTAGACAATATTCAACAACATATGAAGAGTAATAATTTGAGGCTGATACAAATTCCAGAGGCGGAAGGAGAAAATCTTACTGACAAGGTTTACGATATTTTCACCAATAAAATGAAAGTGAATATTAACAAATCGGAGATAACTGCTGTCTGTAGGGTTGGTCGCCGTAGCGATACAAAACCTAGGCATGTTTTGGTATCGTTTACTGACAATTCGATTAAAATGGCAACGTATAATACGAAAAAGTTTCTTAAAGGCACTAAGATAGTTATTAAGGAAGATCTAGCTCCGCATCTGTTGAAAGTAGTTAAAGCAGCTTCTGATAAGTTTGGTTTCAAGAACGTGTGGACGGTTAATGGCAACATTTTTGTAAAAACTGACAAGGGAGTGGAGAAGTTTAATGTGAATGAATAGCTATGTTGTATTGGGGTATTTTTTTTCAACGTTTGGTATTCTTTGAACTTGTGTGTATTGTTAAGATTCATTACATATATTTTGTTTTTTGCTATTTTTTTTAGCTCTGAATATAGATATACAGTTGATTGTATTTAGCGATGAATTTCTTGATTGGACACCTCAATGTCTGTTCACTTGTTCCTAAATTTAATAGTTTGCGGCAACATATACTTTCTAAGAAATATGCTGTTTGCATTATCAGAAACGTGGTTGAATGACAGTATAGGCGACGATACAGTATATATTCAAGGTTATGATCTTGTTAGGTTTGACAGAAATACCAGGGGTCGAGGAGTAGATTTGTATATAGATAGTAAGTTGAAATATTCACAAATTGAGGTTTCACATAATATTGAACAACTTTGGGTCTCAGTTTCACTTAAAGGTAAATCATACGCAGTTGGAGTAGTATATCGACCACCACATTTCAATTATAAATATTTTATCGATGAACTTGAAGAATCTTTATGTGTGGCTATGCTCCGTGAGGATAAAGTGATATGCCTAGGAGACGTAAATATAAATTCCCTCGACACTGAGGCTGCACCTACAAATTATATGCTTGAAATGTTAGATTCTACAGGTATACAGCACATAGTGGAAGAAGCTACTCATATTACTAATACATCGGCGACATTAATAGATGTTATTCTTTGCAACGATCCTTCAATGATCAAATCTAAGCACGTTGGCGAATTAGATTTAACAGATCATGAACTGATTTCGTGTAAGGTACTACAAGATAGATATAAAACTGAACCACTCTTTTACACTTATCGGAGCTTTATGAGTCTTGAAATGGATAAATTGCATGCTGATTTGCAAAATCTTCCCTTAATTCACATATGTTACTTGTCAGATATTGACGAAAAGGTGAACTTGTTCAATCATTTAATTCTAACTTTGTTTGACAAGCACATTCCTTTGAAATCACTAAGCCTAAAGCTGCCTGGCTGAAGGATGATATAAGGAATTTGATGTGTAGTAGGGATGCAGCAAGGTCTAAGTATAGAAAAAATCCGAACGATTCAAATTGGAATGCATATAAAAAACTAAAAAACAAAACCAATCATGAAAAAAGAAAGTATTTTGATAAAATTGCTCAGAGTAAGGATAAGAAATCTTTGTGGCGAGAACTTAATTCGCTTAGTATTAAGTCACAGAAGTCAAATATTCCTATTGATTTGCAAGATGTGGAACATATAAATAACTTTTTTATTGACAGCATACCTCGTGTGGCGTCTGGTAATCATATTGCTTTATATTATGATCAAAACAAAATATGTAATTTAGAGTTCAATTTCAAATTGGTATCTGAGCAAGACGTATTTGACGCATTAAGTAGGATAAAAAACACCAGACCAGGAAGTGATGGCTTTAGCATAGATCTCATCAAATTGTGTGTCCCGTATATTTTACCATATTTGGTACATCTATTAATACAATTTTTCTTGAGAGAAAATATCCAAAGTGCTGGAAAGTGGCCTTAATAGTGCCAATTCCAAAATGTCAGGAAGCTGAACAGCTATCAGATCTTCGTCCAATAAGTATTCTAGCTTGTCTCTCGAAATTGGTTGAAAAAATTATTGAAATACATTTAAGAACACATATTGACAGTCAAAGTATCCTTCCTAAAACACAGTCAGGTTTTCGTCCAGGATACAGTTGCACCACTGCACTTGCTACAATAACTGATGATATCATTCGGTCGAATGATCAGGGTGAGTCTACCGCTTTAATACTATTAGATTTCAGCAAGGCATTTGACACAATTAACCATGATGTCTGGCTGTCTATCTTAAAGTCATGTGGATTGTCTACTGACAGCGTAAAACTTTTTAATTCATACTTAAGTGGCAGATCACAGTGTGAACACCTGAAGAATGAAATATCTAGTTCAAAGCCCACTACCACAGGTGTACCGCAAGGATCTATACTTGGATCATTGCTCTTCACTATATATACTAGTCAGATCCTTAAATGTTTATAATTCTGTGAGTCACACGTTTATGCGGATGATACCCAGCTGTACTATTCTTTTCCTAGTTCAGATTTGCCAGCTGCCGAGTTGAAAATAAACAGTGACTTGACTAACCTCTCTAAAAGATTGCAAGAGCATTCATTAATATTAAATCCAAATAAATCAGCTGCTGTGATCTTTGGTAAATACCGTTCTTATGTGATTGAGAATTTAAATATAACCATAAATAATATTAGATTAAAATACTGTGATAAAGTTAAAAACTTAGGCTTAACAATGGATTATAATCTGAGGTTTCGTGAGCACATATCAAACTGTATCACAAAATCTTATCTGGCTCTAAAATTATTGTATCCTCACCGAAATTTTCTCAATTTAGACATCAAAAGAATTTTTTGCGAAACCTTGGTTTTATCACAGTTTTCGTACTGTGTTCCAATTTATTCTGCATGTTTAGATTGTGACACATTCATGCGAATACAGAGAACACAGAACTCATGCATACATTTTATATATGGCATAAGAAAATTTGAAAGAATTAGTCATAAGCTGAAAGAACTCCGGTGGCTAAATATGAAGGCTCGTTTTGAGATATTCACAACATGCTTTTATCATAAAATTTTAACTCTCAGGCAGCCTCATTACCTCTACGTGAAAATAACATTCAGAAAATACATCAATTCTGTAAATATTCGTTCGAAACAAAACATTACCGCTCCATTCCACAGAACTAAATTTTATGAAAGATCATTTACGTGTAATATATATAAGCTATACAATCCTATCCCCCAGTACCTCAAATCATATGAAATTCACAAGTTCAAAGCGGTTTTGCGTGATTCTTACCTTGAATGTATAAAGTACGTATAGAATTATTCTTACTGCGGAATTTCAATTTTATTTTGTTTGCATTCCTTTATTTTATTTATATTTTTTTTCATATGATTCATAATGTACGTATATGTATTTAGACTTTTAAATTTACTACCAAGTTTTCTCTCTGCTCTTTTTTTCAAACTTAATTGTCGCTCATATTGGCGGTTGTTTATGCGGTATGTATGAATATATATATATATATATATATATATATTATTCTAGAGTTTCTTTTTTTCTAAATTTATTACCACATTTCTCACTTTTCTATCGTATTTTTAAATAAAACTTGCATGCTGTTCATATTGATGTTGTTTATGCGGTATGTATGGATATATATATATATATATATATATATATATATCTATATATTATTCTAGAGTTTCTTTTTTTCTAAATTTATTACCACATTTCTCACTTTTCTATCGTATTTTTAAATAAAACTTGCATGCTGTTTATATTGATGTTTGTACATGCTTGATGGATGTATTTACTGGCATAATGTTTCATACCATTTCAAGGGATGAGTGGAAGAGCACTAGATACTGAACTTCCCCTTGTGGTTCTCAGACAGTCGACATTTTTTTATTCTTTTTTATTTTCCTTTTTTTTTTGGTTAATACTCATGCTTCTATTTCTGATTTTTGTTTGAGAACTGTTTGGAAATAAAGGCATTTATTATTATTATTATTACTTCATGGACTGGTCAAGCATTGTTAAAACATATCGTAAAATATTTATATTAACTACTGGTAGAGGCGCTGGCATCGCTGAGTGTACATTTCAACACGCCATTTGCTAATAACAAAGTTGTTTTTCGAAGGGAACATGCTGATACTGCGTTATCAAATGAGGAAGAAAGTGAGATTAAATAACTTTACTACAGAAAGGTCCTTGATTTCCCGAGTACTATGTGGGTCGCGCATATACCAATCAAAACATCAAAATCTAGTGTCATCTAAAATATTATGTTTGTCTATTGCGCTACTCTATTATTCTACGTACCTATCTAAAATCCATCGTAATTTTTACTTTGTTTATGTTTACACAGAAGGAGGCAGAAGTACTTCTTAGCCTTAAATAAATAGTCTACTAGCTTTTTCCTCGGTGATCTAAGCTTCAACGAGCCGAAATGAACGGCTCTTTGGTAGAACTCGGCCATCCAACCAAACAGGATGTGCGCTAGGATGCTTCGAATAGGAAGGAACGACATAATAACGCGGCGTGGAGAATAAATGAAATCAATACGCAATAGTCGCGTAATGGAAATGCAGACAATTTACTATTTGGATCAGACATGGTTGAATGGACACACAAATTCTAAATTTTAGCAAGATAAAAATATCACATGTCGTAGACAGGTGTATCGTGATGGGTTAGGTTTGAAACGTTCTACAAGCAGAGGTCGTCGGTGAATTATAGGTCATACTGGTAGCGATTAACGCTCTGTCGATGGGGATTGGGCATGTTCAAAATGCCAAAAACTGGAGCCACGAGTACATAAACGCAGAAGTTCTTGAGGATTGGTGCAAGTCGTTGTTGCCTGAATTTGAACCTGAGTCCGTGATTGCCTTAGATGATGCTTCGTATCACAGTCGACGTGCAGAGTGTATCCCTACTCCAAAATGGAGAATTCTAGAAGTTTATAATTGCATAGTATCAGATTAAAGAGCAAGATTCAAGAAGTAGATATGAAATTTTTAAAAGAGGTCAAAGGAATAACTAGACGAGACAAAATCAGAAATGATATAGTAAGGGCAGGACTGGGAGTAGAACCAATCTTGCATAGAGTTGCAGTACAACAATTAAGATGGTCTGGACACCTGAACCGCATGTGTGGGAAACAAGATTTCAAAGAAAAGGATTACAAGGACGTCCGAGAAAGAAATGGAATGATGAGGTGGTAGTAGCACTGACACATAGGGAACTAAACTGTAAAGATGCAGTGAAACTGACAAAAAACAAAAAACAGTGGGCTGCAATATATATTCTACACAAGTTTGAGCGGGAAGCAGATTTATATTGTACTATTTTATACACCTTACACTTTCGGGTAGATAGGTTTTTGATTACATATATATATATATATGTATATACAGGGTGACTTCGAAGTTGAGTCATTTATTTTAACAGTGAGTAGATCTGATCAAAAGAAATGTTTTTTTCCTTTACCATTTTTCTGGTAAAATTAAAGTAACAAAGTTATAGCCCTTTGGAAGTTTGAGTACCGCCCTGTCTCAATAATAATATTATGTGCTCGTGTTTGGCAACAACGGATATAATCCGCCTTATCGGTTCATCGCATCGGAAACAAAAAAGCGAAAGAATTTGGAACGATGTTTTTACAATTATTTTATTCAGTTGTATACAGTCAGTGTCAGTCGGTAACGCGTGAGTGAATAGTGGTCTCTGTTGCGTGGCTCAAACGAAATAAAAAATGGCACATGTTTAAAATGCCGAACTTGTGGACATGATTCTTATTAATGCTGCCGCCGCATCACGGATTTATGCGAATCGGTTTCCCAATGGAGTGCAACCAATCCCTCGTGCCTTTGTTAATGTAGTACAAAGGGCTCGTGAATCAGGTGACTTAAGACCTCACAGGGGAGGGCATGCCGGTGCTCCAAGGCCGCACGATCAAATACAGGTCCGCACTGAAATACTTGTCGGGAAGATACTTTATAAGACAAGGTAACATTTTTTTTATTTTTTTTTTTCATTTTTACACACATATTTTGGTTTATCTTCCTTCTACAATCATTATCTGAAAATTAATGACTCAACTTCATATATATACTTATATCTACGGGGTGCTAGGAAAATAATATTCGTATCTTTAAGAGGTGATTCCTTGCATTCTTCTAAGCAAAATAGTTCATTATAACTTATGTCCGAAAATCAATCGTTTTCGAGGAGAGTGAGTCGTAAATAATTAAATTTTCTCAAACATTTGGCAACGCTGCAACGCAACCGCGATACGAGCGTACGACGAAAGCAACTGATTCATCGAATTGATTACGTTTGTATGATATTTTTGTTGAAAATATGCCTTGAATTATTGAATACTTTTACACATTTTTTTGTGACTAATATTTTTTATTTAATAAAGCTTTCAGTACAGTACGTTTAAAAAAAAAGTACGGAACTTACCTGTACGTGGCGATACACACCACCAATTCCCACGATTATCATTCACTTATTTGAAACGATGCGATACACGCAAAAAGAAAAAAAAAACAACATCCGTAAATCACATAAAGTTACACTTAACCCTTAATTACTCGCATGGGGTCAAAGCAGTTTCGCATTCAAAAACGAAGGATTTCCCGCGGACCGAATTTCCCCGCGCCCCCACTAGCGTTTTAGTAGCGACGATGTCACAGGAGTCTAAGGACACGTCGTTGCGCTTTTGAGCAGTGACCCCGTGCGACTAATTACGTTACTTTTTTTAAAAAGGTAAGTTGCTTATTTTATGTATTTTTTGTGTTTTATTGATCCGATTTGTATTATTGAATGTCCAGTTTATAAATTTATTTAATAAATATGTTTTGTGTAGTTTTATGAAATGAAAGTACCGAAAAATTATGTTTTACTATGAGTTTTGTATCTGTTTCCAGAATTCGTCATGGATAGAAGAGAACAAATTGAGAACTGGTTGGTTGAGGCTTCTGATGAAGAACAAGTTGGAGGGTCAAATTCTGAGTCGGAGTTAGACGAGATAACACAAAGCGATATAATAGTGCTAGTGAAATCGACGAATTGTCCGCACACTCCAGGGAGTCTTCAGACAACGAGGACGACGGCTGTGCAGGGCAGTATGATAAATTCTATTTTACCAGACATAATGGCAGAAGCGGCCCTAAACAAAAAATAGTCAAAGTCTCTACCAACAAGCTCCGCAAAAACACGAAGACATAATATAACTTTACACTTACCCGGTGTCAAGTCATCAGCGAAATCCGCAAAGACTGCTTTGGAATGTTTTAGTTTGTTTTTTTCTGATGACATTATCAATTTGCTGGTAAAATGTACAAATCAGTACATCGAAGTCGTCAGAGGCAAGTTTCAAAGGGAATGTGACGCAAAAGATACAGACGCTGAAGAAATAAAAGCATTGCTGGGTTTGTTGATCATGTCTGGAGTGTTGAGAGCTTCACATCTCAATTTCATAGATCTTTGGGCCACCGACGGAACCGGTGTAGAGATGTTTCGTTGGAACACTGAAGAAAAACAAACCCGATATACCTGAGGAGATTTTACCAGACAGAAGTCAATTCAGCTATCTGTTCGGATTTCAAAAGACTCTAACCATGGTTTCAAATGTGCCAAAACCAAATCAAGCTGTTGTGTTGTTATCCTCCATGCAAAATGGAGTTCACATCGGCCCAGGTTCAGGTGATCAGCAGAAGCCTGAAATAATTATGTATTACAACAGCACTAAAGGAGGAGTGGACACCAATGATCATTTGTGTGGTACATACAGCGCAGGAAGGCGAACCAAACGATGGCCGATAGCTATTTTCTTCCATCTTATAAACGTTGCATGCATAAATGCTCTCGTTGTACATCTGGCAAATACCACTAAATCACGTACTCACAAGTGGCGTAATTTTTTGCAGCAATTGTCCGTTGAACTTGTCCATAATCACCAGAAACGTCGGCTTGATGTCCATTCAACTCCTAAAGTAATAAAGAAACGACTTATAGAAGTTCATGACTTGGACAACCGCGCCCCACCAACCACTGCAAAACGTGGGCGTTGCAACAACTGCCCGCGGAAAAGTGATCGAAAAGTATTGACTAAATGCAAAAAGTGCAAAAAATTTGTGTGCAATGATCACTCAGGCATATACTGTCAACAGTGCAAGAAAAGTGATTCGGATAGTTCCTAACATAATCATAAAAATTTGCCTTGATCTCTTGATATAAGTACAAATTGTTAATTTTCAACTATTATTTTATATAAGCTCAATTTTTTTCATTAGATAGTAATTCATGTTATTTCTTTTAAATATCATAATATAAATAAAGCACTTTAATAATAAAATAGTTTGATTTCATTTTATATTTAATATATATTAAAAAAATATCCTACAACTTGGGGTCACCTGTGACCCCATGCGAGCAGTTATGTAATGTTCTTCATGCGAGTAATTAAGGGTTAAATGTAGTAGTAATCACAACAACACGCGATGATACATGCAGTGCAGGCGGAGTACGACGTTGCCAGTTGTGTGAGGAATTTTGTTTCTCCGTTTTTCTTCGGAAAATTGTATTTAATAAGCAAGACAATTATTTTGTTAGAGACAGTTAATTAATAAATAAATGTATTGATACATTTTACGGTATTAGGCATATGAATTTAAATTATTAAGGTGCAAAATTAATTTATTTCATGACTAAAAAGAAATAAGTTCAGCATTTTTTTGCTCCGAAACGGTTGATTTTCGGACATAGGATATAATGCACTTTTTTGTTTAAAATAATGCAAGGAATCACCACCTCTTAAATTTACGAATATTATTTCCCTATCACCCTGTATAGTATCAAAAATACTTGATAATAATATTTGTCTCTTCCATCACTAGCCGAGTGTCTTTAAGAATCGCATAATTTTTCGATAGATGCGAAACGCACATACTCGTAATCAATTACGCTCAATGTGCCATTCCATGGAAATGTGAACGAGGCTTTTGTGTGGAGGCAACAGCAGGACAAATTGGGTAAATTACGTTTTAGCGCACCATACTGCGGTGAAACAGCTTTCGCACAACCACTTATATTATTCAATTTGTGAATAGTTTAGCGCGCTAAATTTCCTTGAGAGGTTAGGAATGCTTTTGATGCAGGCCTCTCTGTACCAGGATTATCAGTCACGTTGATTGGTTTATTTGTCATCGTGTTTCAGCCAAATAATTAAACAATTGAATCTCGTCCGCATCAAATGTTTTGTCAATGGGATTAGCAAAAATATTTGTCATATAGTTTTACGATTGCATCCTGAATCAGGATAATTAAGTTATACGATATCAAAGTAAATGTGCCGGGTGCAGGTTACGAATCATGTTTTGGATTCATAAAATAATTATGGTCTGCTTCCGTCCGTTCAACCAAAGGCAGCCGATCATGAGCAGCTATTTCGTGCTTTTTGGGTACAGCAAAGTATGTTCTAGGCTTTGATCTCTTTGTTAATAAGCCCGTTTGCCCGTTCGTGCTTATGTCAACATTGCCCAGTCCTCTTTCGTCATTTTCTTCAACGATCGTACAAAAACGTTAAAATGAGAATATTAACATTTCCAACTCGTAATGGGTATTTGCGCCATTGCCAGTCAATGATAAATTTACCTATAACATACATATACACTGCGACATCACCTCGATCAGTGACGTCCCTACTTTCTTCCAATTTGACATTCGACTGTAGCCGAAGCCATAGTATAGTTACAAATTGTAGAAGAGAGTTAGACAAGGCGAATTAATTTGAGAGGGATAAGAGATGTAATTCAAAACATGACATCCACAAAACAGCTATTGGTCACAGGTTAATGCGGTGTTACCAGATATACATATAGATAATCCTTTTTGGATTAATTCATTGTCCATCACCTGTCCGGCACGGGTATTATGTAAAAGCCTATAAAACGTAAAAAAGACCTATAAAATGTCATCTTGCAGACTATGTAGTTTTTAGGGTGCAAATAGTCATTCCATGTTTACGTACATCTATGAAGGAATAGCTCGCCCCCGCGATGTGTGTAATTACTGTTATGTATATGACTTGTCATTCGTCAGTGTACAGTGTATATAATTATTTATTCTCTCTCTTTTTTTAAATTCAGCACATTTGCATAATGTAATTCCCAGAATGGATAAGAAAAAGTGGTTGCGCAACTAATTTCTAGCTTTGAATCCCAAGTTACTTTATTTGAGACAAGAATCCAAAGAAATTATCATCAACACATATTATTAGCATAGTAATCCTCACTATGCGCCTATGCATTGCCGGTTATCTCCAGTAATGCATCTCTGAAGCAGATTTTACATCAAATCAGAGCCAAACATTGATAACTGAAGTCTCATCAACGTTTAGGCAGCACGTACAACTACAAAACGAGTTCACACCGTGTTCATCAGTTAACATCTTGTAGAAAAACCTTCATAATGTCACAAAAAACCAACATAGTGTCAAAAAATTCGACATAATGTCACTTTTTAAGATACGTAATACCAGTGCGGAACGCATTTTTGTTCAAATTTACATCTGCTTGGACATTTATCATCCTTTGAAGCCTACGTACTTCAAATTGCTTATTTGTCCAATCGTCAGTGTATTTGACATGGTTGCCAATTATTTAGACAGCCTAGACTTAAGACGATTCGTATGAATTTTTGACGGAACCATCAAAAACCGTGGAGAGAACTAAACTCCATTCAGCTAGGTATACGTGTAGCATTTTTTAAACGTTTTATGTCAGTCAGGCAACACCGCTTTGGTACATGCAGTCACTTATACGCGAAACGCATGAATTCTGAACAGCATGTCAAGCCACCTATAAGCGAATTGCTAAGCTGAGAACCGTTCGATCGTAGATACCTGTATTTTTTGCTTTCCGCCAATAGTCCAAGAGTCGAACAAAAGTTCTGTGTTCTTTCATATCTTGATGCTAACAACAAACTCGGCAAGGTATTATTCAGCATCAAAATGTATAAAATTCTATTCGTTTTTATCGTATATATTATATCATTATGCGATGATATAACCAAAAATTTGCGGTCGACTCTCCTACAATAATACAGAAGAAACCTAAGGTCAATGAAGTCGACCGGTGATTTATAAAGTCATTCCACGAATTGTCTCCTTTTGATATAGGTACTCTTTGTTGTACAGGAAATGATTTAGCAACGTATTTTGTGCTACTACCACGACTCAATTAAGAACATTGTAACACTCACCCACTGTTTTGAAATCAGTGTGAAACCCATCAACCGTTATTCTTGACTCTCTCCCGGTTCTTCTGAAGATAACTTCATGCCAGTTTCCATCGTCGATTCTTCTTCGTGAACCTCTTTGCTTCCAAGGACCTGATCCAAGATCGAGATGAACATAGATGTGCCCGTTGTAAATCTCAACAGCAAAGAGGTCCACCTGTAAATTAGAAGTTGGTTAGAATCACAGGAACGCAGAGTAAGGGCAAATGAGGCTCATTTCTGACTAATTCTAATTACTATTATAGTACAATTCCGATGGACTTTGATAACAAAAAATTTATAACAGGCTGAAGTTTGGTATGTTGAAAGTTTTCCTGGCGAATTGATACCACATATCACACTCGTTACTAACGCTTCGACAACCACATTACCTTTTTTAACACGCTTTTATTAGCTTGGCCTGTATGTACGAGGGCGGTTGTAGATATCGCGCATGTATGTCTTAAAGGTCGTGGCTTGAGTATGTGATAGCTGGGTCTCTTACGAACGTGCGGCACAGCTTTCGTCGGGAGCGTATGTTTCACGCGCGTGCTAACGACCATGAGTGAGGTCAAGTGCCGACCGCCGTTGCGCAACGTATTGTCGTTCGTCTTTTAGTGTGGGGCGTTTAAAACACGAAAATTTTCCTGCGTTTGGTTTAAATGGGCCAAAGCATTCAAGGATGGCCGCGAAACTGTCGAGAATGAGCCGCATGATTGTCGACCGTGAACCAGCATCAGACCAGACAACATTTACCCTGCTGTACGTCGACTTCCTGGGCACCCAACGTCCCATCAATGCTGCATAGTACTCTAACCTTCTGAAAACAGACGTGAAACCCGCTTATCGGTCGAAACGGAGGAGCATTCCAGCAAGAAGTGCGATTTTTTTCCAGAATAACGCGCGCCCTCATATTGCGCGTCTCACGCTCGATACAATATCAAAATTGGGGTGGGAGGTACTGAAACACCCCCTCCCTACAGTCCGGATTTATCACCCTGCGACTACCACATGTTTCGACCACTGAAAGAAGCCCTCGGAGGTCAAAGTTTCAACACCGACGACGAGGTAGAAGAGTTCGTGCGCACATGGCTGTCCGAGTTGCCCAAGGAATTCTTCGATACCGGCATCAAAAAGCTTCCGGAAAGGTGGACAAAATGCGTAACTAGTGAGGAAACGTATCTAGAAAAACTTCAAATTTTTATAATTTTTTTCGATAGTAAATAAACGTGTCAGACCATTTGTCTCGATCATATTTGAACCACTCTCGTATGTATGTAACAAAATCTTTGACCATAATTTTCACCAATTTCCAGAAGGTTGATTAATCTGAAACTTCGCACACGTATCAAGGACCGATGAGAATGCAATAATTTGACAACAGTTTTCCATTACTCTTATCAGTAAAATTCTGTAAAAAGCAGATTTGTTGATAAAAAGCCACGGACTTCAAATACCGCTATGCGAATTCTAAAAACTACAAGCCTCTGTAGCTCAGTGGCAGAGCACTGGCCTTGTGAACCAGGAGTCGTGAGTTTCATCCTCACAGGAGGCAGATTGTGGTATACTTTTTAAAAAAAAATATAACATGCTTTCATTAGCTTGGAGTGTATGTATGGGTTTTACAGTCGATCATGCAGTTATTTATCTAGGCTCGTGACTGTTTGCTTATGTAGCACTTAGTCGTGTGAAATGATTAGATTACGAAATGATTCGTAAGACATTACAAAACCACTTGTTCACAAAAAACTAATTGATAAATCGAACTAAATAATTGTTTAGAAAAACTAAAAAAACACGATTTTATAGGTAGCCGAACTAAAAAGTAGAAAATAATTATTAAATACAAATAGTTTATATTATAGTAGCAGATGGTCTAATAATCAATCATAATTAATGACCTCAAAATAAAATTATAATAAAATTTAAGTTATTAACAGAATAATGCAATTCAGAGTAAAGAGCGTGGGGTGCATTTTACTACATTTTCATAACTCTCCTCTCATAGATAGTTGCCAATAGAATGATTGAAACATTTAATATATCAAGCACCCCACGCTTTTTACTCTGAATTGAATTATTCTGTTAATAACGGTTAATAACTTGTATTTTATTATAATTTTATTCTGAGATCATTAATTATGATTGATTGTTAGACCATCTACTACTGTAATATAAACTCTTTGTAATTTAAAATTATTTTCTACTTTTTATTATGGTTAGCTATAAAAGCGCTTTTTTTTAGTTTTTTAAACTATCATTTATTATACAAATCAATCTTCATATCAACCAAATAATAGAGCTCGTTACTAACGCTTCGACCACCACAGTACCCTTTTTATAAAAATCAATCTCCATATCAACGAAACAATAGACGTTCAACAAATATTAGCATTTGATTGAATAAACATTTTCCATGCATCCATTATCCGTCATTAATAAGCCAGGAAAAGAACGTTTTTGCCAGATCAGCTGCAAAGACAGTAAATTAATTGCTGTTTTAGATAATATACCTGTATAGTAACAAAAACATATAATATGAAGAAACTTCGATAATGTTTTTAAGTTATCAATTGATAAATGTGCATTTATATATATTTTAATGCAAATTTGAGGTGTGCATTTTGAAGTAGAAAAAAATGTATTATAGCAGTTTTAAAGAGTCGACATATTTATTCAAAACCTATTGAATCAACAAGAATGGCTATAGAATTCGATTTACAAGTCAGCAGCCATAGCAGTATAGATAGTACGGAAAAAGGGTTGTTCATTAAACGGAATCATTACTCCAAAACATTTAGTACCGTTAGTTTCCGTCTTAAGAGTGATTTAATTATAGCCTTATAAATAAATAGAATACTTTTTTTGCATTTGGTTTTAGAATGATTCTACCTTTTTATTCAAGCTGCCATATTTTTTGGAAAAATTATGATTTCCTTTGTTGAATTTATAGTTCTCTTCTGTTTTAATAGAAACAATTGATTACAGTGCTTTTTCAATTGACTTGCCGGTAAAGCTCCGAATATGGAGCCTGGTACTATTCGTCATTTATTTGTCTGAGCGGTCCGTAGGATCTTTGCCCATTAGTCACTGTGTAATGTACCTTAGTCGAATCTGTCAGTACTGGTTGCCCAGAAACCAGACAATGTCAGGGAAAAAGAGAAAGGGAAAGAGAAGAAAAATGGAGAAGAGCAAAGAAAAACAGAAGTGTTTAGTTTAAGAGAAGGCACCTAGGCCTTTTGAATCGGTACACGGATTAATTTTGAGGTGAACTAAGCAAATTTTGATTCGGTTTTTTTAGAGTGTAATTTTAAGTTTACTAAAAGTTCGGGCTAATTTTTGATTACAGTGCGAGCCGTGGCCTTGAATGTTTGCGAACTGGCTCCACTGTGTGGTCCACTGAGTTGCGCAACAGAGGGTTGCTGTGCGATTCCGCTTGACTATAACGTCGCTGCGCCTGAACTTTGACATAATCCCTAAAGTAAGGTATGTCAAGGTCTCTGTGTAGTGTCTCGTTTGATACATACCATGGAGCGTTGCAAATTATTCGCAAAGTTCTACTTTGCAGTACTTGAAGACTTTGCATATGTGTATTGGCAAGAAAACACCAAGCCGCACATGCATAAGTAATGGCTGGTCTAATAATCATTTTATATAGGCGAACTTTGTTTATCAAACTCAATTTGGAGGATCTACATAACAAAGGATATAGTTGCCGAAACGCAATTTGGAATTTTGTTTTCAAGGCTGCTGTATGTTTCTGCCAGGTCATTCCTTTATCAAGGGTGGCACCGAGGTACTTGGCAGAATTTGTCCATGATACACGATTGCCGTCTACAGAGACCTCTGCTGGGGGGCCGTGACGTTTTTTGGTACAATAAATAGCCTGCGTTTTCGAATGATTAATTTTAATCAGTCACCGTTCCGCCCACTCTAGTATTTCTTCCACCGCACTCTGCAACCCATCGTGAACCAGATCACCAGTACATGACTGGGCGACAAGTGCATTGTCGTCAGCATAGAGGTAGACTTCACAGTAAAAAGTGAATAAAGGATTGGTCCTAGGATCGAACCCTGAGGAAAACCGGCCCGCACTGGCCGTGTTGTTGACAAAACATTGTTAATTTTGATCCGAAACTTCCTTCCTTCAAGAAAGGATTTCAGTAATTTTAGAAGCCAAAAAGGAAAACCCTTTTGGATTAACTTATAAAGGAGGTCCGTGTGCCACACCTTGTCAAAGGCTTTTGAGACATCCAAAAGCAAGATGCCAGTACTCATGCTGAGAGTGAACCCTCTGGTTAGGTGTTCCACCAACCTGACTGCCTGTAGCTCGGTGCTATGCTTGGACTGAAAACTGAATTGAACGTCAGGGAACCTGGTATACCTGTCTACATATAGAGCTAATCAGATCTTTGAAAAAAATTGAGAAACTATTTTCTTTTCAAAAACTCACATAACTGTAAATAATGATTTTAATGTCAATACATTATGTTTTCATTATGAGCATTTTTATTGCCGCTCTGAGGGCGACGCGGCACTACACAAAATACCATAACCGTCAAATTATGGTCGTTTCCTGCGCGAAACATGAAAATCTGTAACATATTCTTGTTGTTAATTTCCTCAGAAAACATTCTAATGAAACGATTTTTTAGAAATTCCCGAATTTCACGAGAAGTAGAGATAAACATAATATTTTTACATTCAAACAGTAATACTTTTAAAACGTCAGGTGTTTGAAATGGGGTAGGGAACGATTTTTACTCAGTACATTCACCCTGTTATAAATTTTTCTGACGTCAAAACCTCCAAGGCTTCGACTGATGCATCTCAACAGTTAGGTATAATATCCCGTCCTATGCTTCTGCGGCTACGATAATGATTAAGACTCACCCTGGGAGGTCGGATACCTCCATTAAACAAAATCAGTCCATTAGCTTCGTTTGTGCGGAATTTGAAGGAAATGTTGCCGGACTTCTTGGCATTCCATGGCGGCAGAATCTGAAATGAGAATAGCGAATTACACTCTGGGGATACATAACTCTTTCAAGTGGAACACAGAAAAGCATAATCTCTATGGAGATTGAGTTTGTATAGCTATACTGCGAATCTGAAGGTTGTTATAAATCTTTCTGAATATTGGAATATTGGAGAAGTTTACAAATCCGCTAGTAATGTGATGGGACATACATGTAGTATTGAGTGATCGCTTGACCGAAAGAATGAAAATACATTCTAATGTAAAATCTCAAGCCCTACGCAAACCTGCCATAAAAAATGGTGACTGCAATTTGCATTTTTAAACTCGACCTTTAAATGACCTGTAAGGTCCTTACCTGGGTCATATTTGAGATCATCATCAAAAGAATGCTTTATTGATACCCTGAACTTTTTCTAGAAACATTTTTCCATAAAAATGCGTAGTTGCCCAGTGTTCGGATATTTAGTAGTGGTGTGTATCATGAGTTTATTTCGAACTTCCATTGCCTATACAATTTTTGAGAAGACATCAATTAAAACGTCGTCAACTCAAAAATTGTATAGACATTGGAAATTTGAAATAAAACTTTTGAAGTATCTACATTGTCTGCAAATTTCCCTGTATACACAGCCTGGATCAGCCCTGATTGGGGCATACTACCCTGTGCACGTATCCATATTTGATACGATTTAGAGGCGGGCATATCATCAACAAGTGGATGGTGTTCTTGCACTTTTTTACCGGGTCAAACACTACTTAAGTACAATAAAATAGTATGAGAGTTATAATACCTACTAATTTAAAATTGCAATTAAAGGCAAATACAAAGAAAAGTATTTTGTCTAACTTAATATTAGTCCAATAGCCATACCTCCGCATACGTGAAGGTTCAAAGTAAGAATTTCCTTCATATTGGAGGATTTGATAGAAACATTTCATTTCGGTGCTATTCTAGACAACTACGTAGACAAGTGCTCTATAAAATTACGCTACGTGTCCATATTTCATACGGTTTCGATACAGACATCTCATCGACAAGTGGTTGGAAATCTTGGACTTTTTTTACCGGGGCAAACACTCCTTACAAGAACAGTATGAGTTACAATAATATACTGAGTGATAAAAAAAAGTAAACATCTACGAATGGTTATCCAATTTCAATAATTTTTGGCATATATGATCAGTGTCCATTACTAGTAAAATGATTAAATTTTCAACTTGATTCGTCAACTGACTGCATAAGCTGGTTCAAAATGTGTTGACGATCCAAGATTTTTTATACAGTGTGAGTCTTCATAAAGTGCACATATCAAAATCAGGGAAACTATACTCTATTTCATCGACGGATAAATCATCAAAAAACAATTAAAAACAATAATTGATTTTGTATGAATATTTTAAAATTTTTAGAGTCAGCTGCTAGCCCTATTTAAATAAATCGTTACAACTTTTAAACTGAATGTCCTATCATATTGGAATAAATTTTGTAGTGATTGCAAATAATAGGCCGTACCAGTAAAGTGAAGAATTCCAGGAAAAGTAATGACATCCATTTAGAATAAAGAAAATTTTGATGAAAATCTGTTTTTTTTTCATCATTTTTACAATAATTTCAAATTTTCTATAAATATCGTCCCTTGTACCCTACCTTTTTTTATTTGTAAGTTATTCTACATGTTATCAGCTTTATAAAAGTAAAAATTGCACGTTTATTACTCAAATGTAACAGTTTCTATGAGTGTTTATAAAAAAGCCCATGCGCATCGTCTTGCACCATTGTTTATCATGCAGATACCTTTTTTTGGTGATTCAATGTAGAGTCGCGCGGGCTGAAGTACGAGTGGGGAGGCGGGCCCAGTTGAAAAACAATTGAATGTTGGGCAGTTAGGCAGCTATTTGTGTTTCTCCTGCCGACTTTATCAGTTTCGTTTGCTACATATCACGCTTTCGCTTTTTGGTCGCGATGCCACGTATAACGCCGGCTCCACACGTTGGCCCCAACGTTGGCCCCAACGCTACTCGCCCAACGTGTGTATCTAGAAAATGATAAAACCGACAATCGACAGCCAACTACCAACGGTCGCTCCAACGTTGGGGTCAACGCTATTTTCTAGATACACACGTTGGGCGAGTGGTGTTGGGGCCAACGTGTGGAGCCGGCGTAAGCGATTTCCCTCCGGCACACATTGCCGATATCCATTATTATTATGGAATGTACCGAGGGAGTGCTAGAGCTGCTTGCACAGCTTATCTAGCTGCATTTCCAAATCGACGCCCTGTTCCATCAGCCCGTAACTTCCAAGAAGTACATAGAAGACTGGCTAACACTGGACTTGGTTTGCCTCGAGATCGCCGCGAAGAAGCCATTTTGGATGATTTGTTTGCTGACCCGACTACTAGTACGAGACGTTTGGCGTTACGTCATGGCGTATCCCAGAAATCGGTTTGGCGCATCTTGAGGAAAGCAGGGTTGCATCCATACCATTATCAAAGGGTGCAGCACTTGCATGAAGATGTGGATTGGCGTCCAAAGTGCGTTATGTCTACATGGATTTTAATAAAAACAAGATACAATCCTGAATTCCCGAAAACAATTCTGTGGACAGATGAATCTCAATTCACGAGAGACGGCATCGTGAACTGTCGTAATTTACATAAGTGGTGCCCAAAAGATGAAAACCCTAGGCTGAAAAGGGCTTCAACATTTCAAGTGAAATTTTCTGTAAATGTGTGGGCCGCACTGATTGACTTTTTGATTGGTCCAATAATACTCTCGAGGACATTAAACGGAGAGAGATGTCTGGAGCTTTTGCGGACTGAACTGTCCTTGCTGTTGGGAGAAGTGCTGCTGCAAACCCGTCGAAGAATGATGCTTCAAATGGATGGATGTCCTGCCCATTACTCGCTGATTGTCAGGTCTTTTCTTAATGAAAATTATCCAGGCCGCTGGATCGGTCGAAAAGGACCTGTTGGGTGGCCGGCGCGTTCCCCAGATCTCACACCTCTCGACTATTTTTTATGGGGGACAGTGAAACAAAGGGTGTACAGCAGTTCCATAAACAGTGAAGCGGAACTTGAAGAAAGAGTTTTGCGTGTTGCAAATGAAATCAAAAATGATCCCGAGATGATTCGTAGGGCAACTCATCAAATTTCACTTCGTGCTACAATGTGTTTGCAGCAACGGGGTGGCCATTTTGAACATTTGATGCATTAAGCCAAAATGATTATCCTATAGACAAGTCTATTTGATTTTATTTGTTAAAGATAATGAATGATTCATGTAGGTTAATACTGTTGTTTTATTCCTACTCTGGCGTTGAACTGAGTTCACTGCTTTTTGAAACGCGGATTTAAAAACTTGTATCTAAGTAATAAACTTGCAATTTTTCACCATTAGGAGGCTAATAACATGTAGAATAACTTAACATTTAAAAAAGGTAGGGTAAATAGGACAATTTTTATTGAAATTTAGCAATTGTTTTAAAAATCATTGAAAAAATAGTGAGTTTCAGCATATTCCTCTTTATTTTAAATTTATAGCATTTAATTTCGTGGAAATTTTCACTTTACTGGTACGGCCTATTATTTGCAATCACTACAAAATTTATTCCAATATGATAGAACATTCAGTTTAAAAGTTGTAACGATTTATTTAAATAGGGTTAGCAGCTGACTCTAAAAATTTTAAAATATTTATAGAAAATCAATTATTGTTTTTAATTTTTTTTTGATGATGTATCCGTCGATGAAATAGAGTGTAGTTTCCCTTATTTTGATATGTGCACTTTATGAAGACTCACACTGTATACTCATTGACACGCCTGGGCATCGTGCTGATTAGGTGGTCGATATCCTGTTGGGGTATCTCGTTCCACGCTGCAACTTCGTGAGTAAGGGCTACTAAAGCTTGTGGAGGGTATTGCAAATTCAAGAGCCTGCGACCTATCATGTCCCAGATATGTTCAATTGGAGATGAGTCGGGCGATCGTGGTGGCCAACGTAAACGGTTGATGCGACGTTGATCCATGAAGGCTAACGATGCTCTGGCAACATGTGGTCTGGCATTATCTTGCTGAAAAATCGGGTTTTGCATGGTGTTTAGGTATGGATCAAGATGAAGCTCCACTACTTCCTGAATATAGCGTCGAGCTGTCATATTGCCTCTGATGAAAATTAGTGGTGATCTGCTACCATAAGCAATAGCACCCCATACCATAACTCCCACGGTGTGGTGAACGTGACGCTCTCTGTCAAGTTGTGGGTTACGTCTTTCACCATGACGCTCTTGCGCGACCATCGTGCATTCCCAGACAGAAGCAAGCTTCGTCACTAGAGACCACCTTATTCCATTCCCGGTCCCATTGAATTCTTTCTCTACACCAGAGCAAACGGTTACGCCGAAGTTCAGATGTGAGAGGTAGCACCCAATGTGGGCGATAAGAAATCAGGTCAAACTGTCGTATTCGGCGATATAGCGTACGCATACCAACCATCCTTCCATGCTCTTCAAACCACTGGTTAGCGATGGCTCGGGTATTACTGAATCTGTCTCTCAGAGCCAGAAGTCTCAACCGGCGGACTTGTCGCTCTGTGGTCCCTCTGGGACGTCCAGAACCCCTCGCTCGCTGTCTTCCGCCTTCCTGAGTCCACGCTCGTTCACACTGCAGTATACTGCGTAAGAATCTGTTGGTCCTGATAGAAACTTCTCTTATCGATAGACCGGCTTCACGCTACCCGACAATTCGACCCCTCTCAAAGTCACTTAGCTGGGACACCTGGCGAATTCTACGCGCTCTAGGCATTTTGAGCAGTCACAAAAAGGCTTCTCAATAAGCTACACGAAATTTAACATTTAACTGACACCATAAATGTATGAAAACTGAATGCTTCTTTATCACCCCAAACAATACACGCAGCCACCACAAAAACTTAATAGAAAAACCTGGTAATTTTATAACATGTTGTCTGTTCTTGGCAAGATAAACCGATATGTAAAAAATTATTGAATTCTAATAAACATA